TAAAAATGGGAGTTCATAACCCACTTGAATCTAATGTATGAAATATGATATGTCAAGAACTTTGTAATGTTTTGAACAACCAATAAAAAAAGAAAAAAAAAGAAACAAATTTTTAATTACGGGTTTTTCCTAATGGAGCCAACATCAGGAAGATTTATATGAGACTCACCAAGTTTTTAAGAGAATTATATTGTCATAAACATACTAAGTTTGAAATGAAATGGACAGAGACAGTAACACTGAAAAAGGAGCTTTTGAATACCCAATCTTCTACAGTACAGAAGCTAAGCAAAGTAGCAACTACAAATACAAGTTATCTTTTATAAAAAAGAAAAAGAAAAGGAAAGGAAGAAAGAACGAATAAAAGAATGAAAAGAAAAGGAATGGTGCAGGGAATGGAAGCTAGAGCACAGTGGGTGGAGCTAAGAGTAATGGATAATCATTCCCAGGCAGGACATTAATTGAATTATGATTAAGGAACTTCCATTAATTTTGTAATTGGATTTCAGAATTGCTATGGAGCAACAACACCTATGATTTTCCTGTTTTTCCCCTTTCTAAACAGGAGTSTCTCTCGCAATTATCCTGTATCTCTCTCACCACTGGGTATTTGACATGTGAGGGAATAACTATCTTCTCTACTTTTAGGTCTTTAGTCAAGAAAAATTTAAATAAGGAATGATAATCAAGGTATCTCATCTGCAACTGGATCTGATTTAAATGAAGAGATACTGGACTTTAATGTTACAATAGAATCTCTGAAGTTTGGAAACTGTGGCTTATTTTTGACTTTTCCCATTTCGGTCTACATTAATCARTTACAAAGTTCTGTATTCTTCCTAAATATCCCTTTAACCCATTAAGTCCCAAGTTTTCAATTTTGCAAATATTTCAACAAAACTGACACAGGTATATTAAAATAGATTGAAAATAATAATTTAGAGCTTATATATTAATCAATAGTATAATTAGTATAATCAGATTCTTATTGTAAAATTATGTATTATATAGTTACATAGTATATATACTATATTTAAATTKTTATAGGTAATTTATATCTGAGATGATAGAACAAAAATGGGTTAATTCTCTCCCTCTTCTCTTTGGCAACCACTTTAATATCTTAATTTAATTGCAATTACCTGCATAATTGTTTTCCTGAAAGGCAACTCTCCCCAACCTACTGTGTAACCCTACTTCCTGTTTTATACAGGAAGTTTTATAGAGGAAGTAGGGTTACACAGTAGGTTGGGGAGAGTTGCATTTGGTAAAATAAGAACAAYAGCATCAGTCCTAAACCTAAAATAGCTTCCATCACATTGTGCTAAAATATTTGCCTAAATATTTTGTTTAACCACTTTTAAATTTTATGTCCCTAGGACTTAGATTAGTGTCTATTACATAACAGGTAGTTGATAGTTATTAATAGTGAATGACTGACCAAACTCTAATGTCACATGTACTTCTAAAGAATTTAATACTGGGGGCTCAGAGGCAGAGCATTTGCCTAGCATGAGTAAGGCCCTGGGTTCGATCCTCAGAACCACATAAAATAAATTAAATAAAGGTATTGTGTCCAACAACAACTAAAAAATAAATACTTTTTAAAAAGAATTTAATACTTCTCACAATTAAAAAAACTAATATTCACAGCCAGGTACAGTGGTAGCAATCCCAGCAACACTGGATGCTGAAGCAGGAGAATCACAAGTTTGAGGCCAGTCTCAGAATTTGTGAAGCACTCAGCAACTTAGTGAGACCCCATCTCAAAATGAAAAATATTTCTAAGAAGGATTATGGATATAGCTCAGTGATAAAGCATCCTTAGGTTCTATCCCCAATACCAAAAAGAAAAAGGAAATACATTCATTAGGACAATTAAGATAAAAATACAAGCAAATAACTATATGATAACCTGATTCTATTATGAAAAGGCCAAAATTTCTAAAAAATTCATTCATTCAAAATAAGCTATTTTAAATAATGCCAGAAAAATAAATCAATCGTATGGACTCATACCCCATTTCAAAACGTTTGCCTGGTTTTCTAAGTCAGATATTTCAATCTTGACATTTTCTTTCATCAGAAGCTCTCTTTTCTTTGTTATTTCATACTCATTATTGAAGTTTGTAATTTCCTTAATAAATTTTTCTTCCTCCTCTGTCACTCTTTTCTTTGTAACCTCCTGAAATACAGAAATAAAAGATCAAATATAATGTTGGTTGCAATATTTTTCTTTAATGATTTAAAATACAATCATCTAAACTTATTAACAACAAAACTATAAGAATAATAATTTCTGGTATTACTATAAATGGCTTTACTTCATTAATACTGTTTAAAAAAACTGAAACTATTAAACAATGACAACTAACTTCAGATGAAAGATTTATCCTTAAGTAGAAATTCTACCATTTATCATTATGCCAATGTTTATTTATGAATTAAACTTATCATCACACATGCTATTTTATCACTACAATACAAAATTGGGTGGCAAAATAATGACTAAACTTGAAAATTAAAAATCTATACTCAAAGGAATTACTGCTTACAGAAAATAAAAAGAAGAAAAGACAAAAAAAATAGATAAGAACATCCAAAGAAACTTTTTTTTGTTTTGTTTTGTTTTTGTACCAGGGATTGAACCCAAGGGTGCTGAACCACTAAGCCACATCCCCAATTCTTTTTATTTTTTTATTTTGAAACAGAGTCTCACTTGCTTAGGGCCTCACTAAGTTGCTGAGACTGGCTTTGAACTTGGAGATTCTRCTGCCTCACTCTACAAACTACTGAGATTACAACCAGGCACCATGGTATCTGGCCAAGGAAACTTTTAAAAATGTAGACTGATGAAAGCAAAATTACATATTAATTTCMAAAGCAGCTCTAAATAACATTTTACACATTGTAAGGAAATAGGAATTACCAAAACTTTAGACAACACAAAAACTTAAACTTTGTGACAATGTTAGAATCTAAACATTTTTGGATTTTATTTTCTATTTTCTCTTAAGAGATGTCAAATAATTATGGGCCACATTCAGAATCTGGACTTGTTCAAAACCATCACATCRGTTGGTTCTGACTTTTGACCTGTACTTTTAATATCTTTAAATGTATTTTCTTTAAAATGTCAACTAATCACAAGTCACATCTCCAAGCATCCTGGCATTCAAAACTACTTTTCAGTTTGTTGCCTCAGACTTAAGATAAAAAGATAAAAATACCCATCCTTTCACTCACATCTATAAATGTGCCTAAAGAATGAACACTTCTACCTTTCAAAAGCATTAAAACCAAGGTCTCAAAGCCTGAGCAATTCAAATCAGTTGTACTCTTTCCTTTAGGCTTATTACAATTGCAAATAATTTCTGTTACATCCCTGCCAATAGATCTCTTTCAAGCTATATTACTCTACCAACTGATTTTAAATAGCACTTAATACTTTTTACTTATCTGAATAGTACTTTTTATTTATCTGAATAGTACTATCTGCCAATATGCATATGGGTAATTTTCTAAAAGTATACCTAAGTATATGAAAATACTTCTTGACAAGGTTATTGAAACAGATTTTTCTAAGTGGTTGGAGACTTACAAAGGTTTGGAGAAGCACACTCCTTTGGTTTGTGATTTCATTGCACTGTCTTTCTAAAGCATTTTCATGAGTTTTCAAAAGCTGAAAGAGGAAGGATTTTTCAGAAAACTGCTGAACCTTCAAAAGTACAGAAATCAGAATGAAACAATTAGATTTTTAGAGTATTTATGTTAATAGAACAGATACAMACAGTATAAAACATTTTCTGTATTAATCTTTGCAAAATAAAATTCACATTAAACATCTTACTATACATATGCTATCTTATAAGTACTACATTAATTATAAGTTTATAATCATTTCTCCCAATAAGAACATTAACTTCTCAAGGGCAGGGAATGTGTTTTCTTTTTCCTCTTCATACCTAGCACAGTTCTAAGATTAGGTACTAAAGCTTTTGACTATACACAATGAAATTTGACTTCAAGACATCTTGTTTTAAAGAATAAGTTTCTATTCTTACAACTAATAATGGATGAATAAATCATTTATACAACAGATAAACTTTATAAAACCCAGGCAAAACCCCAATCCTATGACTATAATTACATAAAATAAAACATAAACCTGTTAAATTCCTCAGATTTTGAGAACTCATTTTAACTTTTATTGGCAGAGTTTTCAAGAGCATTTTTATTTTCAGAGCCTACAACAGTTGATTAACAATGCTGTTAAGCTGGTACAATCTGAAAAGCATTCCTTTAGGTATTCAATCTACAGATTTTCCCTTCTCCTTTTTCCTTCCCATTCCCTGTTTCCCATAGGAACTCATTTTTTAATTTAGTACCTCATTTGGTTCTAAGCAGAAAAAGATACATTAAACATTAATATTAGATATATAACTATTATTTTATTTAGACTTTTAAAAGTGGCATCTCCTGAGACAAATATTGAGATGAAAATCAGGAAGTTTTGATATGTAAAAGCTAAAAAAGATGCTGGACTAAAAATAGTTTTTCTACAGTGTTCAATATTGGCCCTCATAAGAAAGCATCACTTTGGATGGACTGTTCCTATCTCTACAGAGAAAAGAAAAAGGATATAAATTCAACTTAAATTGCAGAAAGCAAGATTTATGTTAGTTATAAGAACTTTCTCAAGGTGAGAGGCAGGTTGTGAAACCTGTGTCCCAGAAGACATTGAATAGTAAAGAATCTAGGAATAGTCTAGTCCAGAGGCAAAGAGTTGGCTGAAAAGACATTTTGAAATATTATGGCTAAAAGGTCTAGAAAGATCAGCATTTTTTTAAAAAAGTGGCTGAAATAAAATAGAAAATATGATCTCACATTTATATTAGATCACAGCACATCTGCCTACACCTACAGTACTTGGTATCATCCTCATCAACCCTATTTTAAAAAAGACATCAGATRGAAAGATTAGACAGAAACACTATACATGATCAAAGGAATTAAGGTAATACTCTAAAAATTGGGGGAAGAAGAATGAAGTATTTTAGTATTTTACCTAAGACAAAAATTAGAAAACACTAAATCTATCAAATTATATAGAAATTGAAAGCAAGGACAAACAAGAACACACACACACACAATTTATATACGATATCTCAGGAGATGGCATATTTTTAAAGTTGGAATGAACTGTACATGTGTATGTGTGTGTGTGTATATATATTACTACATATGTATGTTATATACATGAATATATAATAACTATGATTGCCCACGAAAATGCTTCAGAGACCAAATACTGGCCTACAGACAAAATAYGGTTTAATCTACTGAGGTATTTGAAGAACTATGCCTTTCAAAATTAATATTCTTGAATTCTAATTCTGTTGCTGACAGATGTTATAAAAGACCTGTCAAAATTTAAAATGAAGAAAATACCACAAATCAAATGAGTACATTTTAAATGAAACTTAAGCAAACCTATGATTCAAATTCAAAAACACTTTGTTACAAGCTCATAAATTAAAAAGCTTTGTTTCAGCAATCAACACTAAGAGCTAAAAATTCCCACTGCATTCCTGTCCTTTCTTAAAAGGGAAGAATATCAAACAATAAACTGTATTATTTTACCATAACCTGAAACATGAAACCTCTATACCAAAAACTAAAAAAGTAGCAGCTATTCAAAAGATTAATAAAAATGATATATCTATAACTTTCCTCTTCTCTAAAATTTTGTTAATTATCCATTTTGAAGCCCTGTCTGCTTCTTTGGATTTATTTTTACTATTAATCTTTCTTCATTTTGACTTTCTATATTTGTCTTTACCTTTTACTTCTACATTTTTGACTCTCAATCAAGACCTAAAGAGTCAATTAACTAGAAGTTACAGTAATAATTTTAAAATATATCATGATCAAAATATTTAATACAAAATATCTTGGCAAGTATGGAAAAAAGTATAGCATAAAATAAAATGACAAGAGTTTGCAAAGATGAAGTCATTAGGAGCAAGTACCACAAATGCCTCCCATTTACTGATTCACACACTGAGGACATCAGTAGATTAAGGTGGTAGAAGTTAGACAAGGTCTAATACTATTAGTATAGGGTCTTCACATTTTAGTAGAACTAAAGGGACAAAAACATTTGTATCTTTTCCATTCCTCTTTGACAAGTTATTAACTCTTCGTAAATAAAATAGCTTTTCATAGTCACCTATTTGTTAAATGTTTGGTTTTATTCCTTTTTTTTTTCTGTTAACCCAACTAACTTCTTGTTTTTCTCTGTCCTGTGTTTGAAAACTAGACCTACCAATGTGTACAATTTAAATATAAGTAAAAATATAACCCTGAATATACTGATGAGATCAAGATGAGCTMATTTCACAGAATATCCTCAGAAACCTCTCCTTATGACCTCGATGGGGAGAATCAGTAAAGAAAAGATAGGGAATTGTACCACAGAAAATAATTCTAAACATATTTCTCTAAATCAGGTTTGAATTGAAGTATTATCATGCTCATGGTAGATGAACTATTTCTTTTATGGTAAGTAGAAACTTAAGAAACTATTAATTCTATTTCCTAAGTTACCCAAAGATCCCAAGAGGCTATAAGCTATATAAATAGTGGAAAGCTCCTAATGGCAAGAATACAAATTTCTCTCATCTCCCTCTGTCCTCTGACTAGAAATGAAGAGGAAATATTTGCATTCAGTCTTAAAGTTGCATTCCAGAATCAAATGGCCAAGCTTTGTCAGAAAACATTGCTGTTTTAGAAAAGTTTAATTTATAGCAGTGCCAACTCTCTGGTCAATTCTGCTTCTCTAAGCAATATTTTTCCTTTACCTGTTTTATTCCTCTTGGGAATCTGATTTTTAAACAAAGCTTATAGTTTTCCCAGTGAGCTGACTTATCTGGTCAAGGAGGTCAGTTTTCAACAAAGCCATGATTCGTGACTCTTCACTACTCCTTCAGTCTGGGTGCCTTGAGGTGTTTTTCTAACAGAAGAACTTGAAAACTGAAAATGACTGAGGATTTTAAATGAATGTTTGGGTCCAAGTAAGCAAAAATATAGAGCTACTCTTTGTTGTTTATTGTGGCTGTTGTTAAAAATAATCTCAGCCTTGAGGAATTGACATTTTGTTGATTAAATGCTCTTCCCAAAAGCATAACTACTTTAAATAAGAAAACACAAAAAGGGTTGTATGGATTTTACATTCTTAAAATCATAACACTAAGGAAAAGAAATGTGGTTGTTACAACCATGATAAAAGGCATTTTAAACATTAGGGTACATCAATGAATATCATATAAATGGAAGATGTTAAGTGTTTTGGGGTTATTGTTTTGTTTTTCTAAACCATAGATGTAATGCTTAAATAATAACTCACTATGACATAGTAAGAATAATACAGTAAGAAAGAAAGATTCAATATTAGGAAATGTTAGTCCTTAAAATAGTTTATTAGTCTTCCCATGATCTGTACCTAGGAAACTGTACCACAGAAGATAATTTTAAACATATTAGAAACATACATTTCTTTCCAGCATGTCTCCAACTAGTCTTCTTCTTACTCACTCCTTTCTAGTCTCACTAGCTTTTTTGTTATTCCTCAAATAGCTCACACATTCCTTCCTCCAGCCTTTGCAAAGACTTCTTTTTGTGTGGATTGCTGATATTTTAATTTTTTTGTCCACTTGATTTGTGCAGGATGAGATACAAATTCAAATTCATTCTACTACATATGGATTTCCGTTTTTCCAGCACCATTTGTTGAAGAGGCTATCTTTTCTCCAATGTATGTTTATGGGTGCCTTTGTCTAGTAAAAGATAACTGTATTTATGTGGGCTTGTCTCTGTGTCTTCTATTCTGTTCCATTGGCATTCATGTCTGCTTGGTGCCAATACCATGCCATTTTTGTTATTATAGCTGTGTAGTATAATTTAAGGTCTGGTATTGTGATGCCTCCTGCATCACTTTTCTTGCTAAGGATTGTTTTGGCTATTCAGGGTTTTATTCTTCCAAATGAATTTCATGACTGCTTTTTCTATTTCTATGAAAAATGTCGTTGGAATTTTAATAGGGATTGTTTATAATCTATATAGTACTTTTGGTAAGACAGTGATCTTGACTGAAACTGCAGAACATACAGGTGAATCTAGTAATTTTCATTTTCTTAGTGTGAGTACATAATACAATGAGTGAGTGAAAAATACAGTGACTACTAGTATACTTTTGTGCCATTACCTTACTTTGTGCCAAAGTGCTAACAGTTTTATTCACCTTTGCTTTTATAATACCAAGGTACATGTTAGCACAATGAAAATGGAAAGTGATGTCTCTGCACTAAAATAAAAACAGTATAACCTCACACAATCCCTGAAAGTATCTTGAAGACTCCTACATATCTGAACATTACACTTTAAAGAACCAATGCTCTGGGCTGGGGTTGTGGCTCACCTAGCACATGTGAGGCCCTGGGTTTGATCCTCAGCACCACATATAAATAAATAAAATTAAATAAAATAAAGAAAGAAGCAGAGAAAACACTTAAACAAACAATGCTCTAAGGTGGCAACTAAGGAGAGACCTAGGATAACTAACCACCAAGATTTCCATGGGGCCCATGTGATGTTGGCACTGACTATGATGTTAGCTAGTCACTACTGTATAAGTCAACTTTCCACTGCTATAACAAA